GCATGACATTTTACCAGTTTCTGGCAACTGTGCATTGTCCCTACTCGGTTCATGCCCTCCGCTATGTAACCAACTTTGGAAACTACGAACACACAAAGCGGTGTTGACGAATAACGTTTATGTAGGCATCAGCAGTCACAAGCATCCATTACCACATGTGTGGGGTTTCAAGTAGAGAGGGAGTGGGAGGAATGGCACAAACAGAGAAGCATATCCCACCGTGCCACCTGACGGCCTTTTTGAATGGTCCGACTTGACGAGTGGAACAGGACTGCTGCAAAGTCGATTTGCTTTGGGGCGACTCCATAATGCGCTGGAGTCACGCACTGGAGTGAAGGTGGGTGACAAAACGAAATAATTGCAACCTGAAAAACAAAAGAATTTACAGGTATCCTGCCATCTTGACTTGCAATTGGAGCTGACAAACTTCCTGTGCTTTCGTCAGGGTGACTAGAAGCATGTGTTGCTGTGGCGACCTTCGACACTTTGACTTCTTACCTGCATTGCAAGACATCAATTGTGTCCACCATGGTTTGGGAACTTGAGGAACTTCTTTTAGATGTAAGTCACGTGAGCGAGTACTTTGCCCATGGGACAAGTGGAGGTGGCACAAGGGCATTTGACCTGGCAGAACTTGAGCAGTTCGCTTTCTCATCCCAAAGTGCATCACCTATTGGCATTCACATTGGTCTTCGTTCGGCCAAGTCGTTGTAAAGCAACTGTCGGATTTCAAAGGAATCCAGCGGCCCAGACTCATTTCATCCAGAGTACTTCATTTGACCTCAAGGAACACACGACTGCCAGATATATTCAACCAACAGCTTCCTAATGAAGGCCAAACGGATGACCGCTTACAGCAGACTGTCTTGCATTTTACAGCATTGGCACACTAAGCAACCCCAATACACAAGATCTGAAGGCTGAATGTGTAAAGCAGCTAGAAAGAAGAAAGTTTGTCATTAACGCAGTAATACTTACATGAAAGACGACCACGTCATGGGGGAAACAGACCCATGTAGTGAAGGGACAACGCCAGTGGAGGCTATTTACCCGAGTTGACTTGCTCACTCCCTTCCACAGTCAAGTCTCTGCCTCCACGATGCAACACAGTCATCACGAGTGCCTTCGAGGCGAATGGGCCACCGCAGTCATATAGACAGCCTGCTCAACTGCTCAAGTTCTCCTTACTTGCCTCCTCTTCACTAGCCTCATCACTCAATCCTTGGCAGCTCAGTTATTTGTTTCCTGTGCTAGGCAAAGCCGTGCTCGAACTAGACTTGTGTTGATCTGGCAATGGCGCAATCGACGACAGAGCCAAATACTCCAGGGCTTGGTCCTTGAGGAGGCAAATGGACTCACCCCTCCCTAATAGTCCCAATCAACTGCCTCTTCTGTCATGTGATGGAACAATGACATGCATGAAGCAAAGTGAATATGCCATCTAGATCGACACAAATACCTCTGTCCGCTGCAAATGATTCCTTTGCCACATTGATGGCAATGCTGCAGGATGTGTGAAACCGACAAGTGGTAGCGTGGTACACGCACAATCGCAAACATCACCCACACACAACTACCACTGATCACGTGCGAGGCCATGAAGACACATCTGGCACCTCTCATATCATCAGCAGCCTGTACCAGGAGATTTTGTCTTTTGTCGTCTAAGTGATCTCCAATGACATTGCAATGCTGACCCCCTTGCAACATCCAACATAATCGAACAACTAGAAGCCTTCCAATACCCAATAACCATCAACTGGCTCGAGCATACCAAATCATTATTACCAAGTTCCTTCCTCCATTTTTTCCAACTACTCGTATTGACGAAAGCTCTACCTCCTCCACCATCATCGAGATGCGTCTACAGCGATTCCCTTTCCACTACATCCTCTGTATCATGAAAAGCAAAATGGGATGATCAAGGCGAAGGAGTCGTACACACTGACAACAACGCAGCATGGAGTAGAAGGCTGACAAACAGGGCAACTACAACTGGTGACCAACATCTAGACTTTGGTGAGGATCACAGCTGTTTTCAAGCACAACCACCCCCACAGCTGTCATGGCTGTCAGTTCATACACGTGTCACATCGAAATCAGTCCTTTCGTGCGTGGTCTCCCTAGGTGTCCAGCTGTTTGAGCGTACGTGAATGACAATCGAAACGCGAAGACTGTCAGTTAAGCACGAACCACGCGGCCGACTGTGACGATGCTCCACGGGGTAGGGGTTGGTGTGAGGCGTAATGGTCCAGATCCTCACTATCACTAGCCTACATCACACGTTTCATGAAAGCCAACTTTCCTATCTTCTTCAACATCGCCAACTTTGAATTTGAACCGTCACAAATGCCACCACGCCAAGCTGAACTCAGCATATTCTCTAGGTGCCGGTTGGTAGGAAAACGAAGCATTTAAACAAGAAGCGTGCAAAATGATTGAAATTTAGGGGCGCCTATGGGCGTGAGTGTTGTTTATGAAAGAAAGGTTAAATTTTTAGAAATTGAAAAGAAAAATAATGCAGTGATTTCGAATGATGCAGAACAAATGAGTGGGAGGAGAACTTGGACTTACCAATCAACGTTGCCTGAATGCATTTGAAAATGAACTTATGCAGGTAGGTCGGAGTGAATGCACCGCAACAAAATAATCTTGCCCTGGAAATGACCCTCCACTCACAACTCGCCTTTTCATCCCAGACCGTCTGACCATTTGAAATGGAGCATGTCAGATGTTCAGTCCAATGCGGCAGCCTCATTGTCGGTCCCGTATTGGAGGAGGGTTTCACCACCTGCCCACTTGAATGGGAGCTTCCCACGGGTCGAATTTGAGGCCGCATTCACTTAAAAGTGGACTTCCGGCAACGATGCAACGACGAGTGGGGCATGTGAGCATAAGAGAGGAAATGCAGGCAGCTGGGTAGCTGCAAGTGTGTGGGATGTGAGGGCGTGGTGTGATTACCAAGTTAAAATATAATCAAGGTAGTTGCAGACACAGACAATGCGGTGTTTATGTATTTGTTGAGCACACACGTCCTTGTGCTACATTGACTTCTTCACCTCTCAGACGTCGTCCGCATTGCTGCCTGTGGAATTCCCTCTCCAACAGTCATCTCCAATGACCTAAACACGTTTCCTCAACACGTGCACACGAAATTTGGGCGTTGCTAAGGCTGTGCATGCGAATACTCCCTTGCAGCATACCGTCAGGATTGGATTTGCTCGGCTCGCCAACATTTGTGCAAAGCCTTTCACCATGTGGACTGATGGTGCAGGGACAGCCTTCTTCGCCATGGAAGAAGTGATGCCGCAAATGCTTGGGACATGTCCGAGACATTCGCAAACTATTAACTTGTGTACCTCGGCAACTACCATGGTGGCAACCACTCCAACACGATAGACACATTGCCATGAGGACAATGCAAGCTTTCCACCTCATCACAAAAGCACGCAACCATGACGTAAATGGGACTCCCACAAGAGAACTATTGCCACACATCAACCTTGACGCTCACAGCCTCCCCACTGCTGTATGGAAACAAAAGACAGATCCACACAATGAGAATATGCTTTTATTTATGGAGATACCCATTTAACCACCAGTGAAGTGAATACAAGACATTTAGTTGTGTTATCTTAGAGAGGATCATCTCCCTCTGCCAACTGCAGGAATTCCTCCGTGCTCATAGTAGGAACGTTCGATGGCCTCCTACTGACTGCACTTTTCCTACCTGGAATCATTGATGTATTAACACTGCTTGTACTCGCTAAAATAAACGGTAAATGTACAACACAAATGTGACTCCGTCTTACGTCTGTCGGGTGTTCGGAACACATCTGCTGAAGCACATTCTGTGGGCCGCGAAGGGGTGTGTGGTTCTTCCCGTTCCCTGACTGCCTCACCTTCTAACTCTGATTGAATGTAGTTGAGGAAATACCATCGACAGTGAAACTTACGTTGCACAGGTGCTGTGGAATGCCACTGTGTGTCAGTGATGGTATGAAGTGGTGATGGGGCTTGAGCTTCTCCTACAGTCGCTGATGAATGTTGCTTGTGTTCTTCCAATTCCTTGACTGCTTTACCTTCTAACTCTGATTGAATGTAGTTGAGGAAATACCATCGACAGTAAAACTTACGTTGCACAGATGCTGTGGAATACTGCTGTGTGTCAGTGGTGGTATGAAGTGGTGAAGGGGCTTGCGCTCCTCCCACAGTCACCGATGACTGCTGCTTCTGTTCTGAAGTCAAACGTGAGTCGCTCATTTTGTGAGAGATTTTAGACTTTGCTCCGCAATTTGCGTAGAATTAGTCAAACTATAGATGGAGACGATAAGAATGTCATTTGACTGACTTAATGCTGGAGTCTGTAAGCTGTGCTTGGAGGGGAAATGAGTTTGTCAACAGTACACGTCGACAAAGCGTGTTGATTTGAACCACGGTTGCCGCTATGGTACCACGTACTAAAACACTGCCATATTGTCAATTATTGCCTCTCACAATTTCTAGGCGCATATGCACTTGAAACACAAATAAAAGGCCATCTTCAAATAAATTCAATTGCCTCCTTCACTTGGATTCGGGTCCGTGCAAACAACCTGTTCATGAGATAATTTCACTGGCAAAATATCCTCACCTTTCCATTTGCGTCCAATGCAGGCATCTCTCAATGTTGCCACTGTTTGACGTTCCTGTGTGTTTCTCGTGTTGCAGAACGTCACCACCATATTTGCGCGCCATATTTGTTCCAATTCACGGACTGCGGCATTCATCGATTACCTATAATTGATTGGATCATTGCTCTGCTCACTGACTCATCTGCCTCGTCAATTCTTCTGTCAGCACGGAGTGTGAGTGCATTCCTCGCCAAAGTGAGGGCAAATGACTCAGCACTTTGTGGGGAGTGATGCCACTTGAAATGACTGTTTCCTTCAGGTCGCGGAAGTAATCACCCCTCGCATTGCATGTCTTCTCCGTGGAAATGGGGTGGGCAAATGAAGCGTTGTCATGTGGAGCAGGCGGGAAAGCATCAAGCACATTGGCATTGCTTCAATATGGTTGCCGGTTAATCAGAGAGCATGGTGGGTTGTTGGTGTGAGACACAACAACATTGGCTCAATGACAAGTCCTCAAGCAGTGGACGATACATTTGTTGTTTCGCGTTGGCTGCATTCACTTCATTTCCACCTTGCTGCTATTGTTTGGATTTGGGGTTTCGTGGGAACAATTTATCTGCTGTGTGGTCTCACACAGGTCTCTGAGTCGACCATCCTGCATCAGGCGTGACACGAATGAGTGTTCACGGAAAGGATGCTGCAGCATGAGTCAGGAACTACCACCGTCGACGTCCTTGTCACCATACAGACATGCGACCGCCTTCGAACCATCTACACATCTCCAACATCCTGTTCTTGTGCAAATGAGCGTTCCTTAAATATAACTTGCCGTATTCGGAGCCTTCTCATCTGTCTGTATTTGCTGTTTGGATGCTGCTTCATGGCGTTGCATGAATACCGCTTGATCTGCCCATCCACACTCATCGGTTTAGCTCGATTGCCGTTTGTGTAGGATGCCAGCTACCTCTGTTCAGCGCAACTCTTCTGTTTTGCATCCAAAGCATCACTTTCAAACCATCATCCTTTGTTGAACCTTCCTGTATCTTGTCGCCCACAAATAGACATCCTCTTACCCAGGTTTGGCAATTGGCTTGGCTGCAGTGTGCTGGAATCAGCAAACACTCTCCTGATATTAGTAGCGAGTGGGCTGGTGGTGAAGCCCACTAGACAGAAGAATGAAAGTGTTGAGAGGGATTGGCCCGTAATGCAATGCCATCCACCTCCGAATCGAGGTCCTCCTGCCATGTTTAGAATACTCATCCCTGCCTTGCTACTGCGATGACGACAAAGGAGTAAGTATTGTCACTTTGTAGGGAGTCAGCACAATGAATGAACGAATAGGGGAAGAATGCTTGAACAGCAGTAAGTAGGAGCAGTAGGGATATGAAGATGGAATAATTGATGAATTGGTGGTGAATAGGAGAGGGAAGGTCATGCAACAGCTGCTGCGCCATTGTATTGTGATGACTTTGTCCTCCTGCTATCACGCGGACGTCCTCGAATCCTGCATGGAAAGGTATCGACGGGTAGGGCTCTCGTGACTTCAGCCCCACCATCAGAGTTGATGCAGCCACATCAACAGATAATCCGGATTGGGGAGAGATTCAGGCAAACACTAGATTGGAACGCGAACACGGAATTAAGCAGAGTGCGTGCAAGTGGTGGACAAATTGTGCCACTGGTGGTCAGAATGCTGAGACTGCGACAACTGCACAGCTTTATCAAGAAAGTGCTACTGTTGAATAGATGGACTGAGGGAAAGCAACGCCTACACTGGCATTGACAGCATGGCGCATTCAGAACCTGTTCTCAACAGAGCCAGTCGAGAGAGGACTCTACAGATCTTGTCTTGGCTTCTGACTGCAGTGATGCGTCAAATGCAACGCTGGAGGATGCAGGAGTAGTGGAACGAATGCTCTATGGGGTGTCACATTACTTATGCTGAAATGATTCTCACTGTCACAACAAGGTGAGTTGGAATTTACCACAGAGCATTGTCTTCTTACCTGACTTTGCTGGCCCTGTTACCTCGTGGCCTTCGCAGAGCACGAATACGGTCACACCTGGCAATCAATCTGTGAATGAGGCTTCAAATACAGTGGCAAACCTTCGAAGATGAGTGCTAAGTGGGTATGGACAAAGGGAATCCACCAGCGTGTAGGCCAGCACGTGGCTGCCGTGTGTTGGCGGCATGTGATTTGACGGAAGATCCCACTGTCTGCGATCTACTCGTAAGACAGACGCGCCTATTGGTGGTATCCTCCTCCTACGCACTCCCTGTATCACAAAAAGACACATCCGAGTTGCAGATTTGAACAATCCCCCAAAATTTCTGTCCAGTCATCTGCTACTCAGTTACCCAGAAATTCTCCCTCTTCGCCGAAACAGCAACGTGCCTCCCACATTTCCACTTCTCTTCGTTTAACATATTGTTTGGATTTACTTGTGCGTCAGCAAATACTCTGAGCGGGTTGGTGGAAACTCACCACGAAAACTGGCTTTTGAAGACGAGCCGAGGTGGGAAGTAGATTTGTTGGCAATGGAATGCTGTAAATTCGCAACCACCTGTCTCACCTATTGCATAAATCGACCCTGGAAGTGCTTCTGCCATTCCAGAGTGATGCAACCTAAGGTGTGGTTTAATAATTGTAAATAAGAGATTGTTGGAATAATACAGCTTTGTCCTGACCCCATGTTGTATGATGTTGCAGTGTCGTTAACGGAGTGGTCACGATGTTTTGATGTCATGGCGATGACTGGAGAGCCACCAATATTTAAGCCTGCCATCGTATACCCCTGACACAGTTTCCAGGGCCGTTGGCGAAGAAGTGGTGATGACATCGCGACTATCCACTGGAGTGGATGTAAGTGTTTGCTTCAAAGGCAAACTGCGATGCAAACCGGCCATATTACATGGCTTTATGGCAGGTATTTGTGTAGAAGTGCCGAATTGTGGGTGAGGGTGGATTTGAAGGAGTTCATTTGCAAAGTAAATACGGTGCATATTTGCCTAGGTAAGCATTGAAAGTCTGTCTGGATGGGACAGGTCATGTTGCTTAGCTCCAATCCCAACTGCCCTAGCAGAGTATGAACACTGCTGCAAATGCTTCCAAATCCAAAATGGAATAGGAAAACATGCGAACGGAGAGGTGAAGGAAGTGTGAGTTGGTGATTGCTCCCAAGCCTAATAACGCCGACACTTGAGGTGCTCTAATCCTCATACCATCTGTAAAGACACTTTACCACTTTGACGCATTTTTCATAGAAGGCTTTCCTCTGATTGGAAGAGTTGACATTGGAAATGGCTTCGAGGACATTATTGTGGCGAACGACTCAGGGCATTCGAAGTCATTTGCGTACTCTTCACTTGCATACCTCGGAAACATCTAATATTGCACCCTAGCATATCATGCACTGCATTTCCATGCACCGAGTTCTCTTGGAACTGTTGACTCACGACCGTCACAGTCGTGGTGGCAGCCTCAACTCTCCACCCAACCGCCGAAGCCCCTGACTTTGACACATGGGAATGCGTAAAGAGGAGGTCTATAAAGCATTAACCACGAGGTCGAATATTTTTCTGCATTTCAAATAAAAGTGTACATGATTTCAGACAATGAGAATATCCCTTCATCTACGATGGATCAAGGCTGACTTTATTGGGGAGAGTAGAGGTGTTGATTGAGTGTACTTCGTGGAGGATCATTTCCGTCGTCAGTCCAAATGTGGCAAAATGCGGTTGCGTTGAGGATTTATAGTCGACGACGACGTCGAAAAATTCAGCAGATGGAGTAATTTACGAAGTTGGCTGGAATGAATTTGCTGTGCTAGGTGGGCAATTACTGTAGCGATGCACACTGACGAGACTGCCCCACTGAATGTGCGGCAGTCAGTGGACGAGCACGAAGCCGAGTGGAGGGGGGAAGTAAACGCACCTATAATGGACCACTTTGGCATGCTGGACTGCTTCACGGCGTAGTGCTTGGGTTGTATAGCAAGTGCTATAAGACGTGCGAATTTGGATGCAGCGTTCCAACGATCACACAGAAGTGTTGGAGGGCGGAATTGTGAGGCGGTTACTTCGCTTGATAAACGAACGACCAAGACTGAAAGGTGTTCTGCAGCAATGTTGTTGAGCCAAAGGCACTGGGACGAGGGGATGTCGTTTCTACAAATAAGGAATGCAAAACACCACACTGACTGCAATCCCGCATTCGGTGGCACTTCGTCGTTCACACAACTCAGTGGCGATGATTTGGAGATATCCAATCTCCAATGCCTGTGTGAGCGTTTTTATTAGCCTCTATTAAGTAGGGCAATCTTTGGTGCTGCAAAGGTGCCTCCCTCACAGCTGTCAAATGCTCCCTTCAATGCCTTGCTTGACAAATCACAGACTTACTGCAAACAGTGGATGCAACGTCAAGAACGGCGTGATCGGAGGTGATTACATCCACCTTGGAAAAGTGGCTGTCAGATGTATGGATCCCGAGAAGCGATGACGTAGGTTTCTCCCAAAAGCCCTCTGCCACTCAGCTATCTCCTCCATACTCATTTGCTCCACCAAGATTTAGAGGAAAGTCTTATGAACCTGCTTAGGGAAGAGTTTGTGTTTATTTTGCACTTGTCATGTTAGTGAACATCGTCTCAAGA